CTCCGCGCAAGGGGGATGATCGCACCACGTTGTGTTAAAATGGTCAAGCACCCTCGAGGCAGTTACACAGTGCTTACAACTGTCTCAGGAAGTGAAACCACCAGAACATTTATTAAGTCATACGCAGCTGTCATCCGTATGCAAGTAAGCACAAGATGCCGAAAACCCTTAGCAGGATGCAGCGCACCCTTCATGCGACTCGCCGAATATCTCACGGCGCTTCGCGCTTGGTGATGTGAGAGCCTGGNCCCCCCCCCCCCCCCCCCCCCCGCCCATTTGTTTCGGGTAACCTAGTTAAAATCAACATGTAGAATACCACCGCAGCTGCGGGGCGTTGCGGGTCTCTTGCCCGCGGGGTGTTGCCGATTCCCCGCGTTCTTGCACGTCTCCCATTCTCCATCTAAGTAAGATCATTCTTGCCTGGGTCTCGTCTCCCATTCTCCATCCACTGTCACTCCACACCGTCCTTCACCGGTTCTCTCCAACTAACTCGACCCACTCAAATCCCAGACACCTCCAGACACAATCATGACGATGAAGCTTCAACGGTGCGTCGCGTTGGTGACGGGTGCTTCAGCGGGCATGGGGAAAACTACCGCCATTGCCTTCGCCAAGGAAGGAGCCAAGGTATGATTGCATACATGTGCACATCGGTTAGACGAAAGTTGTATGTAGATAAAGGGCATCCCCACTGTTCTCTCATCCATCATGCTCACGCAGAATACAAACAATTGTAGACTACAGGGCTGCAGACAAGCCTCAGTGCAACACCATCAATCAATCCTTGAACATGTTGCGTTCGTGGCGTTGAATAAATGGCTTTGCGTATCAGCGCATCGGTACACCGCTGATGGCTGTTGACACCCCCACCATCACGTAAAGCTCGTCCCCTGGTAGATTATGTGAGGTGACGATGGTGTTGGGATTTGTATGCAAGAACTGACTCTATTCTACTGCATGGGTTTTGTGCAGTATTACCCCGCACAACATGATCTACTCGACCACCACTATGGTTACCGCCAAAACAAAAAAAAAGGAGGTAAAAAAAAAAAAAATGGGTGGGGGGGGCGCCAAAGTGTGCACTCATCGGCCGCGTGGGCGGTGTTGCCACATTTTTTCAGCGCTCCACTAGATATATCTATAGTCTAGTCTACATTCATGAAATTTGCGTGCATGTCGCACGTGCCATGTCACATTAACTAGCGTAGCGGCCAAGTGTACAAGTTGTTGTCATCTACAAGTTTCCGGTTAAAATGTTCCCTTATCCGCGTTTTCTCCTTCGACTCAACTCGTTATTAGAACACTACGATGGGCGGTGTCTCGTTCAAAACCCTCAACACACATGTATATGTTTTTTCTTGACCCTTCTATATTTCCCCTCCCCCCCCCGGTGTTTGCCATCGGGGTTGGGTTTTCGTCGCTTGGCAA